CAACTACCCCTTATTACCCTGACTTGTGTGTCAACTATCCCTTATTCCCCTGACTTGTGTGTCAACTACCCCTTATTCCCCCAGCTTGTGTGTAACTACCCTTATTACCCCAATGTGTGTGTCAACTACCCCTTATTCCCCCAACTTGAGTGTCAACTACCACTTATTCCCCCAACTTGTGTGCCAACTACTCCTTATTCAACCTACTTGTGTGTCAACTACCCCTTATTTCCCCAACTTGTGTCAACCACCCATTGACAGCCAGGAGTATTCCAGAATCTTATAATTATGTTTCATGGTTTACTGAATGCAAATATGAAATCATTCTATCCTCAAACTCCTCCCTTTAAACCTTTACATCATTTAAGTGAAATTTAGTATTATGAGTTAGTTCTTAATTTGTTATTCAACTTAACGTTTCATTTTGATGAGTAAGAAATCTTTTTAACTGGTTACCGTCTCTCTTGTCTTATAATGACTGCATTTGAATAAAAGTGAATAGTTCTTTTTTCTTGGCAAACAACTTTTTAATAAGTTAAAAGTGGTTGCATTGTTTAACTCTTTATGCATTTTGTGCAGTCAAAGTGCTTTTTTTAATCTACCTTCATCATGAATACTCAAATCCCAATGTATAAAATATTTGTCAAGAACTTGAGGAATATGAATTTTACTGACCAGAATGATGGCAAGCAAGACTACAACTTTGAAAAGACTTCCATTTGAACACCCCTGGTTGACGGAATAAGGCAAATACACAGTATAGGTAAAAGGGGGAAAGGTGAGTCAAATGGAAGTTTTGTCACAACTTATAGAATAAAATCTTTTAAAAGACCATATATATTATATCTCCATTTACCTTATATATAAAACCTGTCCACAGCTTCTTACAAAATCAAACCATGACGTACAGATTTTAAGATAATCATATGCATCTACACAGATAAGATAATTTATTTCTGAACATTCCACCTTGTGACCACATAGATATATAGGTATTAACAGCAGTTTACTATGGCATGTATACCTTGACCAATTTAATCTTGTTTTACTAGGGTAGTGACCTTTAATAAATTATCATTTCATTAATACTGAACAATTGAGGTATTTGTAAACATACTTTACTTATTCAGCAAAATTTTAATTGGATCATCACTCGAAGATGGTTTTCAACTAAAACCAAACCATATTAGTTTACAATACAATATGATCTAGAAGTCTTCTACATGGATAAATTAAAGTAATGGATTGATAATTTGTCATATTTATTCATATATCAATAATGAATTTCACATGAAAAAGTGTCAGTCTCAACCAATAAAATGCTATTAATTTTCACCCACTTCACTAATACTTAAAAAAAAGAGGATCTCCCACATGTATGTGGAACTTATTCATTGACATACAATAAATAAAATACTGATTGATCATTTTTCTAAATATAAGGAAGGAAACAGGGCTATATACATAAATAACAGGATGAAGATACCAAACTGGCTACATTCACTAGGGAACCAGATAGGGGAAGTCTAGTTGACAATTCACTAATGAGACAGGTGTAACAAACAAATATGTATGAAATAACAGCAGACAATAATAACTAAAGCTTATGACATTATGATCCTTCTTCAAAGTGAGATTAAGATAAAACAGCAATCCAACAATAAAACAAAGCAAAAAAGACTTTGAGCTCAACATACAATCTGCCAACTAATAAAAAAGAGTTTTTACCATATGAAAAGCTCTAAATCACCTGAGGTTAGACAAGTTCAGAATAAATAGAGACTACCAAGGCCTATCATCACATTTCTTAGATGACAAAAATAAAAAAACAATAGCTTGTAATTCAGTGGTTGTGGTTTGTTGCTGTACTAGTATATCATATTTGTTTTTTGTTCATTGATTAGTATATATATCAGGCCGTTAGTTTTCTCGTTTGAATTGTTTTACATTTGTCATTTCAGGGCCTTTTATAGCTGACTATGCGGTATGGGTTTTCCTCATTGCTGAAGGTCTCTGGTGGAGAGTTGTCTCATTGGCAATCATACCACATCTTTTTATCTTTATAAAGTGTTGTAAACAGACAACCACTGATGAGGTTCCAGAAAGGCATGTTAATTTAACATGTAGCAAGTTAAACTTTCTTTTTGGAACTTATTGTTCTTTTTTTTCATATCAATCAGAGGAAAAATAAAGTACAAATGTACTGAACTTCTTATAATTATAGAACTGATAGATATTAAAAGGCTGTATAACTTATTTCCATATCATTCTCAACAAAGATTATCAATGTACAGGTATTTGAAAAATTATGTTTTATTCATTATTAGAATAATCTATTTAAATGGGAATCAATATTATAGTTAAAAATAATAGGATTAATGGTGTCATAATACATGAGATTAAGTGATTTAAAGTAAAGTTTCAACACATGATGTGTGAATACTTTATTTTTAGTTGGACTGTCATGAAATAGAAGTTCCTTAATGATATAATTTCCAAATGAAATATTATTTCCACTGGAAGAAATGTTAAAGTATTTGTTCCTAACAGAGTAAATGGTATAGAATATTTGCTCCAATAGGAACAGCTAGTATATAGCATTGTTTATAATAGTGTCAAGAGAAACTTGTATAAGGAGGAACAAATATACATTGACAGGACATTGTTGGAGGCTTTTAGTTTTGTTTTGACACATTTTTAGAAAGAAGTTTTAACAATCATGTTTTATTTTACAAATTTTCTTTTGATTCTGCTGTAGTTTTTTCTCTCTTCGTTTCTTCTTTCATGCATGATGCTTTCAAGTATGATTTGTTCAGATAGTTGTGAAGGTGGGTGTTGGAACAGGAATACATGCTAGCATTTATGTGATGTAAAAAGTCACACAGAGCTAGGTGACATAACTCTGTTAAAACCTTTATAAACTGTTGTTTTTGTAGTGCAAAATCATTGACACTGTTTCACAAATCCAATCAGAGACCTGTATGTATGTTAATTCTTAACAAATGTTTGCAACTTATTCACATCTTACAATTGCTTTGTAAAGGATTATGCCTTTTTTTTTTCTTCAATTTTGAATTAGGAGATTCACTGTCTGCCTTGTTCTGATAAAATGTGATTTTTATGTAAGTGAATACACAAGGTTGTATAATAATCAATATGTTTTGGAACGACTCTGATTAGGATGTGTTAATCAAATAATTGAAAAGTGTTTCAATATAATTTGTTTTGGTACATAACATACCAGGTTAGATCTCAACAGCTTCATATAAAGTCATGGAAACATTCATAAATTGATATTTTGGAACATGTGAATTTGTATATGACTTCAAAATCAATTGGTGCTTTACTTTTTATCTAATTGAAAAATGAAAAACGCAGGGTCTAATTCGAAGGAAAGTAATGACAAATAACTTTACATAGTCCAGATTAAATTTCAATTACATGTAGGAACTAGGACAGAAAAAAAAGTGAGATGATACCATTGAGGAAATCAAAAACCAAAAGTCAAAGAAAAACAAATATTACCATGGTTTCAAATAAAAAGGTGAAAAGACAAAAAAAGTCCTCAAAACCCTGCACAAAAAACAGAGACTTAGCAAAACAAACCTACTACAGGGACCAATGATAGATAATGAATTGGATCTTATATATTATGTATATAGGACTGAAAATGGTTACATGTATTTGCTTGTTATCCACTAAAGACACAGCATTTAGAAGTAAGAACAAATAGAATAGAATGGAAACAGGGAATGTGTCAAAGAGACAACATCCAGACCAAAGAGCAGAAAACAGCCCATGGCCACCAATGGGTCTTCAACAGTGCAAGAAAATCTCCCACCCAGAGGCTGGTCAGCTCAGAGTAGTAAATGTGTCCTGGTAGGGTGAAATGTCTTCCTGAAGATGTTATCTTGTTACCTAGCAGCATTTCAGTCAGGTACAAAGCATAGTACATATTCATATCACATTAACAGGATTTCAACTCACTTTTCATCTCAATTAAGTATGATTTTAGGGATAAATTTATTTACATATAAGGAATATGTAAGAGCAAAATAAGGAATTTTTCTAAAATTCAAGGTACAAATTCACTTACTAAAATATGCAAATTGACTACTGACAAGAGATCATTACCAAAGAGATGTCATATTAATCCGACATTAATTCAGCTTCAAGTTTATGCTGACTGCATGTGTTCATGACTAGAGTATATCTCTGATATCATTTATCAGTATCTAGAAGTTCTTACTTCTTTCAGATAATAATTAAATAAGTTATTGCAGAGGAATACACCAAAAACATCAACAGGAACACTCTATTTTATTAAAAATTAGGATTTTTTGTTTTATAGAAAAATAGGACATTTTTAGGATTTTTACTTACTTAAAGTAGATTTTAAAGGAATACATCTAAATTATAAAAAAAAAAAAACAGGAGGAAATTAGGGCCAGTTGAGAGTCTGCATTGCCATATTCTCCTCCTTTTGTCAGATGAGAGACTGAATTACCATAATGTATACATGTAATATTTGCCACTGGACATCAAACACCTCTCCATTGCCAGCATCATCATCATCATCATCATCATCATCAAATTAAGAAATTAGTTTTCCACCATCATTGATTTAAGGTTGGACAATTCTTAACTTAAGGCCTGGCATTTCCTAGATGTATAAAAGTTATATGCATTTTGTGTTTCAGAAAGATAAAAAAAAATGTTTCAAATTGGTTCATATTGATCTATGTTAATTGATGATAAAAATGGCACATATCCAGATCATTATTTTTTTAATTTAACATCAAAAACTGCATGTATGGGTTTTTCCCCATTCGCACTTTCAATTTATTACAATTTTGTCAGAAAATTTCACAGACGAGGATATCCGTCTGACTACATCACCCGGGTCACAGTGGTACGGACTTCGGTGTTATTTCAATAAGTTGTACATTTTACAAAATTTATTTTTCATTGTATTTTCTGTTGTATCCTGTTTAACTCACCTTTCTAGCGTCTGTCTTGCAACACTTTATGCGGTGACAATCCCTGTATTCGTATTTAAATGGCCAAGAAAATTGTCATACGAGCACAACTGGACAGAATTTGCAATGTCACTTTTGTTTTGACAAGTTTTTCCTAGTTAGTAAAGCAGAGTCGTGAGAGTTCCGAATGGAATTAGGTTAGTGGATTTCGTAATGCCGGTGCTCACGTGTGTTGATGTATTTTTAACTAACATTCATAACGCTTCGAATATTCAGGACAGAGTTTGGATGATATAGATTTTTTGTAGTCAAACCAAATAAATTGTTCGGCATTTGTCCGAGGTTTAGTCTTGGATCAAAAATATCTCAGGGTAAATAGGTAGAATGTTAGGAACGACAACTTTTTCCTTGACCTACTTATGATATTAATAAGTTCATTCATACTCAGTATGCACTTTACGTTGAAAAAAACCTACATATGATGATATGAGGGGGAGGTCAGGTAGGGTTCAGGTTGAAGGGAGACGGGGAGAAAGGAGAGATAGGAGATTAAAGAAAAAATTAACAAAAAAAAAACAAAAAAAAAACTAGATATTTTCAAATGTATCTAAAGCGACAAAAAAAATAAACACACACACAAACATGACCGCTCACAAATATGTTAAACTCCGCCACATTCTTTAGGTGCCTGTCCCAAGTCAGGAGCCTGTAGTTCGGTGGTTGCTGTCATGATTGCTTTTCGTAAACTGTTTTGTTATAAATCATAGGCCGTTAGTTTTCTCAGTTGAACTGTTTCATATTTTTCATGTCGGGGCCTTAAAATTATAGCCGACTATACGGTATGGGTTTTTCTCATTGTTGAAGGCTGTACTGTTGCCTATAATGCCTTCAACAATTAGCAAAACCAATACCGCATAGCGAGCTAAAAAAAGGCCCCAACAAAGGAGAAAAACAACGGCCTGATTTAATGTACAAGACAATTCTAATGGTGGATAAGCGCTTACATCAGAGACATATATACGCATTTGTATATATGTCTCTGATGTAAGCTTATCCACCATTAAAATAAACTTATTCTGAAAGGTTATTATTTGTATATATGTCTCTGCTTACATTAACCATACCTAAATTTACAAACTTTAAAACAACATCACCAAACCAAATATTTGTATCTATAAAAGAATTTGGTAAATTTTAGGTTATAAGTAATTTGTGGTAACGAAACCACTGACTTAATAATTTACCACTGATACATAGATTACGTTCATTGAAATCTATAACGTCATTACAGACACTGGCATAGCCAAATGGACGAGGTGGGATATATAAACACCGTAAGATTGGACTAAAGGGACATCACTGTCCAAAAAAAGGAAAATAAACAATAGGAAACGAAAAATTATCCTTTTAGTGGTAAAAATAAGCATATAGCTTTCTGCGTGAAACTGAAATAACTACATCTTTGAAAGGGCAGTTATTGCTGTTTATAATAATCTTATTCAAATTTAATTCCCTTGTCATGACTGAGTAAATTTCTGCAGTATATTAAGAGAATTCTTTATTATCTAATGAAAATATCATCAATGTAACAGTTGATGTTGTTGAATTTATCAAATAAATTAAATCTATACGGATTTTTACTGCGTTTGGCCATAAACTGTGATTCTTGACAGTACAGGAACAAGTCTGTTATTCAAGGGGTGCAATTGGTATCCATAGGAATACCTACAACATGTTGAAAAACTGTATTGCCGGAAACGTACATAGATGTTGTCAAAGAGAACTTTACAGCTTTACTCATCTCATCACACTTCCAGGAAGTATAATTAAAACATTTACCTTTTTAATTACAAATGAAAGCTTTATATGAGTTGCAGCAAATAAATTTGCAATCAGATTTTTTAAAGAACCAGTTAATTTTAATGGAAAAATTGTGTTAAAAAAGATTGTGTGGTAGTGTAGTTTAGAGAGTTGAAAAGACAAAAAAGTAAACCTAATTGAAAGGACCATCAATAGCATGTAATTTGTCTTAATCATCTAAAGAATGTTTGACATTTCGCAAATAATTAATACCATTAATTGCATATGCGTTATTTCAGAAGTTAATGATACGTTCTTTATTGTAGAAAGGAAGCCAGTTAAAGCACTAAAATATTAGTTGAAGAAATTAACAGGAGGCCGAGATGAAATAATATTTGACAGGTTTTTGTGTAGGTACCGGTAGCCAATACATAGTAGGGACCTGCAAATATTCAGAGGCGACCTTAAGCTTAGTTGTGGTTATGATATGATTGTTTACTATTTTGACTCTCTGTGGAACGCACATACCTGAATGTAGAAGAATTTATAATTTATTCTCAGGAACTTCTGTGTAGTATTTACTACTAGTGGGAGACGGGAGGAGAGGAGTGGCAGAAGGGAGAAGACTACCCGGGTCCCCTTGTCCCCCTCTCATGTATATGATCATATATAATATATCGATCTGAAATGATGTACCAGCACTTTTCAACCGTTTCAGAAGGGATCTTACACTGAAATGCAGTCAACTTTAGCGTTTGGTAGTTCATTGATAACAATTGGCGTATCACAAACAAACAACTTGTAACGTCTCATTTCATTGGCCGAAAGATTCAAATACAACAACAATCGTAGTGTGCACGTGAATTGACACAGGTGACTGACTATGGAATGTACTATGTTACTACGAACGTAAAACAAGGATTTGACAATGTATAGTTTACAAATCTTTGGTCAAAAGAATTAAATAAATGTTTTGTGAATTTCAAATAGTTGTGTCGAAATATTATACTGCAGCAACATAATTATCTTGTACCGCATTATGAAAAATATAAGGATAAAATAAAATGCATGTGCCGCTTATATACGGATGACTAAGGAACCACTTTTAATTTCTTTCAATGTCGTAGTTACTTAAAATAAGGATCTCATAATACTGATCCATTACAATAATTACAATAATTTATGATGGGTTGCACATTAATCCTCTTTTAGTGTTTTTATGCTATAAAACGAACATACAGAACGTTACACAGTAGCTATAAGCGTTTGGTCATTCAGAAATTACGTATCATAAACGGAGCAAATATTGTACCCGAAATATAGTAACAAAACAACAATAATCGTATCATTTGTACACGTTAATGAAGACGTAGTATGCAATGTACTATCATGGTCACCACGAAATTCAAATGAATTCAGTGAAGGCATATGTTGGTGTAAAAAGGATTGAAATGTTACATAGGCGAAGATTTTCTTTTGTATGTGTGGAACTAAAAAAATAAATAAATACTTGTGAGAAATATCGTAGTTTAATTATAAGGAACAATATAAATGTACTGTTTTCGATTTTAATTGGCTGAAAACTTATCTTTTAATTTCATACCGTAAGAATAGTGATTTGCATAACATTGTTGAACTATCCGCCAAAGTGACGTGTAGTATGCATGCGTATTTAAAATGAAATACAAAATCATACATGTTAGATAAACTGATAAACGAAATATTAAGAAATTATTAATAAGGATGACTGAATGCATGTACAAGAAGGGACCCACCTTTTTATCAATACATTTAATGAATAAACACGCTGAAACGAGTGACTGGTGAAAAATAATGTTTATTCAGTTATTGAACCAATGCATGTATTTATCATAAACTTAGTCTTCTGTGCACAATGTTATCATTTTTTACGCAAATATATCGTAAAATCGTCAATTTTTTTTCTATATGTCTGTTATGTGAAAATATGGCGGCTAATTATTTGTCGTGTTTTGAAGCCGAAGTTTACCGATTGTCACCTTATAGTAAACAATCAACAAAGAAGCATGGATATTGAGCACGTGTATAACATGTACAATCAGATAATAGTTTATTTCAATGCGAGATCCTTGCGTATTGCGATCACCGGATTTTTACGAGACGAGTCACGCTAAGGTCAGTTTGCATACGGAAAATATGTCGGCGAATTGCTTCCTGGAAGCAAGCAATTAAAAAAAGTAAACTTTATCTAAATGTGGACAAATCATAGAATTTTCTTCAGAAAAAAGTATATGTACATAAGTTTTATAGTGAAAACTATCCATTTAGTTATAAAAAAAAACATATGCATCATTTTTTTTAAATTTGAGGTTTCATATGACTTTAAAAACTGGTTGTCTTCTATGTAACTATTTAAATATTTACAATATATAATTTACGTTCAATTTTCAACCGAGAATAGCAAAACAGTTAATTATAAAATTCATTAAGTATATCGCTGGAGTTTATAAAGTACATTTCCTTCCACTGTGCCATGGTTTGCCATCTCCATTTTTCTCTAAACAAAGTATGGTTGGTTACATGTTCTGAATTTACTTAAAATTTCGGGATTTTTTCTCAAAATTAAGTAAAATGAATCAGAAAAAAATCACACTATTCTTAGTCGAATACCTAAAACTTGCGAAAGATATGAAAAGGCAGGATGAGCAACTTGGCAAAAAAGGCCGGATGACGATTCATGTAAAAAAAACCGGACTAACTAATAAAAAAAAGGCAGGACCAAATAGACTTAAAAATAAAAAGGCAGGACAGAGATTACAACTAAAAAAAAAAAGAACAAAATGTTTCATCCAAGCCCCCCCCCCTCCCACTCCCATCCCACTCCCATCAAAATGAAATGGTAGATTTCTTAATCCAGAACCAACTGAGAGGAGACAGTTGAATTAAACATTTCGATGTGAAACCTGTTAAGATTTTAAAGTTTAAAATTTTACTATTGCACAAAATTATGAATTCAATGAATTTTACATGCACATGTATATAAAAGCTAGACTTGTTATGGGATAATCAAGAACACAATCATGTACGTGAATACGACGATGGAAGGTTATAACAACCTTGACAGGTTACGTGAATACTGATCAGTCCATTCAACTTATAGTACGCGTGTTCTATTTTCGCAGGTGTGAGGTCGAAGGTTTGAATTGACCAATGAAAACGACCGTTCCTTTACGAGTCAATCTAATAAAGTTTGTTTGACTGATTACGTCGCACTACCTTTCGCTAAGCTTGGCCGCATTTAAGTGTAAAAGGGCACTAGCTACGATTTCGACATTTTTTGTTATTTCAAACATTTATAAAAGCAGAATAAAGAAATTATA